CATGTTTTTACGCTGAGGGTGGTGAGACCCTGGCCCAGGCTGCCCAGAGAGGTGGGAGATCCCCCAGCCCTGGGAACATTCTAGGCCGGGTTGGACGGGGCTCTGAGCAACTGGATCCGCTTGAAGATGTCCCTGCTCACAGCAGGGGGTTGGGCTGGATGGCCTTGAAAGGTCCCTTCCCACCTCAATTATTCTGTGACTTTCAATAAACATTACACCCTACACATTTTTATTTGTTTACAAAGCCTGCAGGCTGCAGAAGAACAAGAGCAGATGGTTCTATGCATTTTGTCCGTGCCTCCGTCAGGCTTCCTGCGAGGCGAGCCTGGATTCCAAGCACTGGCCGAGCCACTGGAGAGCCCTTTGGTGCTGAGGATGTTCCTGCTGGACCTGGTGGATAACGGCGTTAATGGTCCGGAGCCGGTCCTGCAGCTTCTGCTGCTTGTGTCGCCAGGCTTGTTCAGTGCGGCACAGGGGAGTGTACTTCCCTTCCTTCAGTGCCTGCAGATGCTTCTGGCGTGTCTGGTAGGCCACAATCTCCAACAGGTTCTGAGAAAAGCAACAACGGAAATGGCTTTGAGAGCAAACTGCACACAGAAAGGAACAAAGAAATCAGCGTGACTGTGTCACAGGTCCTGTAACCCTCATCTCTGGAAAGGGAAGGGCTGCTGAAGAAGGATTTTGCCGTGAAGTCCCCACTGTAACAGCCAAGCTGCATCCCCATTCTGAGTGTTGTAGAGGTGCGGTCATGGCACAGAGTTCCATCAGTCAGAGAAACACCCATGCATACAAGGCAGCCCTTGCCAGGACAGAGTTTCACCAACTTAAAAATGTCAGAGGAGGTCCTTCAAGCCCTTGCGCTGGCTCTCAAAGTTGTAACGTACTTCTGAGCAGCCAGCTAGCGCTCACGAAGGATAGTTGTTACCAGATGATTTCAAAATACAAACAATGTCCTTCAGGCTGATGTTCCCAGGGGAACACTGCCTCGCCAAGAGTGCAACTGCAGCACCAAAATTCAGGACCACTACGAGCCCTCAAAATGTGCTCAGTTAACTTACGGTGTTGCTGGAATTACCGCCAAGCACGCCCAGTTCAGCATGGTGGCGAGACAAGGAGACAGGGAGCTGGCAGCAGAAGAAAGCAGCAGGTCCTATGTGCTTCGTGTGCTGCAAGGAAGCGGATGCACTCACCCATCGTTTCTTGTTCCGAAGACATTCTGCGTCTAAATCGAGGCCATCGGACTCCGCCTGCAGTTCATGCAATTCTTGCTGCTTTTCCGAGAAGGAGACACTAAGGGACGCTTGGGTGCTCTCCAGCTCCAGGATGGTTTTGTTGCAGTCTTCAGTGCTCTAGTGAATGGAAGAGAAGGAAACAGTAGGTTCTGGCTCTTCAGTTCACCTGCATTCCCAGC